CAAAAAAAAAACAAAGAATGGACATTACCAAGGATTGACAAAGATGTGGAGAAATTGGAACTTTTATACATTGCTAGTGAAGATGTAAAATAGTGAAGCTACTTTTGGAAAACTGCTTGTCAGTTCCTCAAAAGGTTAAAGATAGTTACCGTATGGCTCAGCAATTCCATTCCTAGGTACACACCTATGAAATGAAAACCTATGTCCACAACTAAACGTGTATACAGAAGTTCATAGCAGCACTGTTCGTAGTAGCTCAAAAGTGGAAACAACCCAATTGTCCATTAAGCGAAGAATGCACAAGCAAAATGTGTTATATCCAAACAATGGAATTATTTGGCTCTAAAAAGAAATTAAGCACTAGCGGATGCTACAACATGGATGTACCTTGAAAACATAAGTGAAAGAAGGCAGACACAAAAGTTCCCTATTGTAGGATTCTGTTTATATAAAGTCTGTAGTTGACAAATCCAAAGACATAAAAATTAGATTACTGGTTGTCAGGGGGCTCTGGAGAGGAAGCAATTATGAAATGGTTGCTAGTGAGTGTACAGTTTCATTTTGCAATAATGACATTGTTCTGGAATTAAATAGTGGTGATGGTAAATATACATTATAAATGTACTAAACCCTACTAAATTGTGCACTATAAAAGATGAATTTTATGGTATTTTAATTACATCTGAGTAAAACCAAAAACTATGTAGGCTTATTTATTCCTTTCCCTTGTTTATAATTCATCCACAAGCTCTTCACAACTCTTTCAATTTCCAACTTCACACAACCATTGTGTTTATGTTACTTGTCCAGGCATTTGTTTCACTTAAGCTAGCTTAAGTTGTATCTGTTTACTTGTAATAAAAACAATACTCAGTAGATAAACATTATAAATTTTGTGGGATTAACATCCCATATTTAGATAAAATCTTCAAAGAATGACAAATGGGCCAACCAAGGAACTTACTCTTTTACTAGATTAGGGAATTTGGATGTTCTTTTCCAAAATGTTAAGATATATACTATTGATTGTGGTGCTGTCCCCTCATAACCTGTCTACTGAAAGTTCTTATAACAGCTCTTTTTATCCAGATCTTCATTGTTGTTCTTTGGACATTATATGTCTATTGTTTGTTAGAGGGGCTGTTGTTTACATGAGGGCTACATTCAATACTGACTGGGAAGAATGAGCTAACAGAGACATGCTGTATTTGAAAATGGATGAAAAATTAGATGAGATTTTAGGTTCTTTCCCTTAGGAAAGGAGGTACTTCTTAATGTTTTGTCATAGTTATTATATTGGGTCATTTTCGTTTTAGAAATTTTGTAGAATTACACATGTATGAATGATGATAGGCAATTAAATGATGGAGTGAAGATGGCACTTATTATTTTATCTGCTTAGTATCCTTTCCCCTTTTTCTCATAACAACACCTGGGATTTTTTTTCTGATGACACGCCAATGTGTCTATTTTTGTACATCTACTTGTTTGGGACTGAGAAAATCAACATTATCAAGGATGGATGGGTTAATCTTACCTAAATTAGTTTATCTAATTCCTATATTCCCACAAACCATGCAGTTGAGCATATGACCCAATTTTGGTCAGTGGCTTGGAGCATCAGAATGTATTGTCACACATCGCTTCTCGGCCTTTTGGCTAAGATCAAGTGTAGAATGTATTGTCACAGTGAAGAAAGTTGTCCTTTTGCATGAGAATTATATCACTGAAACGAATGTAAACCAGGAGATTTTAAAGTTGCTATCAATTACAGTCTGAGAATAAAGTCAACAGACAGAGAAGAAAGAGAATTATGAGACATAGAAAGACTAGATACATGATAGTATTTGAGCTTCAAGATCCATCTGTGACTGAAATAGTACCTCTCTGGCCACATCTTTTTTTGGGGGGCGTGGGGTGGGGCGAGGAGTTTAAGGCAATGCTAGTTGGCTTCTTTGTCATGTACGACCAAACTATACTAACACAGAGAAGCAAAACTATTCCTCTGATTTTGTTGTAAACCCAGCTGGTGGCATTTAAAGGTAAGGCCAAATATATTGGTATATATTGTTGAAAACAAATAAATCCATAGTGGTGATGATGTGGAAATGCAAATTAGTTGAAAGAAGTTAAGGATGTGGAATGGACTGGCTTGGTAGGGTGTTTTAGTGTTTGGGACAGAGACTGAATGAATATTGGTACCGTATTTGACAAATGGATATAAGAGAGAAAACAATTAGTTGGTGAATAGTAGGTTATATTTTAGATACTTTGAGATTCTAGTACCTGTTTCTTCTTCATTGTGTGATGTATTATCCTGTATACATGATTATAGACAATAGGCCATGATCAGATTATGTAAAGTTTGGGATCAGTGACACCTGCATGTGAGCTGAAATTTAAGAAGTGGAAGAGGTTACCAATAAGCAGTGTATGGAACAGAGTTTTGCTATATATGAACTATGTATTCTGCAGATAGAGCTAGTTTTACTTCTTTCCAACATAAATGCTTTTTTTTGTTTGTTTTTATTGGCTAATTGCCTTGACTAGAACCTCTAGTACCATAGTGTTATGGGCTTTTTTTTTTTTTTTTGCTGTTTAAAAAAAAAATTTTTTTTTTGAGAGACAGAGTGGGGGAGGGGCAGAGAGAGAGAATCCCGTGCTGTCAGCATAGAGCCTGATGTGGGGCTCAATGCCATCAACCGTGAGAGCCTGACTTGAGCTGGTCAAGATCAGCTGACTGAACCACTCAGGAGTCCCTCTAGTACCACTTTAAATAGAAGTAGTAAGAGTAGACATTCTTGCGCCTAATTTCAGGGAAAAAGCATTTAGTTCTTCATTAATTTTGAGTTTTTCATAGACTCCCTTTGTCAGGCTGAGGAAGTTCCCCCACTATTTCTAGTGGGCTGTTACTATTTTTTTTTTTCATGAAGGGATATTGAATTTTGTCAAATGTTTTTTTCCTTGTGTCTATTTATGTGGCTTTTACTTTTATTCTATTAATATAATGAATTACTTTAATTGTTTTTCTTATGTGAAATCAACTTTGCATTTCTGGGATAAGTCCTACTTGGCCATGGTATATAGATAATTTTCCATATTTTGCTGGATTCAGTTTTTTAGTATTTTGGTGAAGTTTACATCTATACTCATAAGAAATGCTGGCCTGTAGTTCACTTTAATTCTGATGTTTGTCTCATTTTAGTATCATAGTAGTACTGGCTTCATAGAATGAGTTGGGAATTGTTCCCTTTTTTTCTATTTTTTGGAAGAATTTGTGAAGTATTTTTTTTTTTTATTATTTCTTCTTTAAACCTTTATTAGAATTCACCACTGGACCCATCTGGGCCTGACTTCTTTGTAGGAAGTTCTTGATTTCCAATCTAACCACTACATGTGTTAGGTCTATTCAGATTTTCTATTTCTTCTTGAATCAGTATTGGCAGTTTCTGTGTTTTTAGGAATTTGCCCATTTCATCTAGATTATATGAGTTGTTGGCATATAATTGTTCATAGCCTTTATATTCTTATTAATTTTTGCAAAAGTCAGTAGTGATGTCTTCCCTTTTATTCCTGATTTTAATAATTTCTCTTCTCTTTTTTCATGGTATGTCTGTATAAAATCTGTCAAATTTGTTGATATTTTTAAATAGTTCACTTTTGATTTCCCTGATTTTCTCTAGTGTTTTTCTATTTTTTCTTTCATTAATCCTGCATTACTCTTTATAACTCCTTGACTCATGTTTTCTCTCTTCTCCCTAGGACATGAGTGGAATCATGAAATGGTGCGTATGGGTGACCAGGAGTTGTACTTTTGTGTTCTGAAGAAAGGTTTGTAGCCATAAGAGTGATCTGATGGTCAATCAGAATGAAAAATCTTCCAAATCAGGGAAATTTGGATGTAGTATTTTTTAAATTGCTGGTCATAGACAAGGATTTAAGTGTTCCTTATCTATTGAAAATAGACGAGATTCTATGCTAGTGAATTCAGTGGCTGGAGGTCACAGAGGTAGGACCAGTAAGGGTAATAAGGATCAGGGATTTCACTATTAGAGTCCTGTGACTTCACTTTGTCCTTGCTCTTCTTCCTGTACTCCACAGGTGCTTGTCCTATCACATGGAGGGCTTCATCAAGTCCTAAAATAGGTTATAAGGGCAGTTCCTTTATAGTTACTTTGCTTACACGGGAACATAAAAGATTAGGTCATTTGGGGAGCCTGGGTGGCTCAATTGGTTAAGCGTCCAACTTTGGCTCAGGTCATGATCTCACGGTTTGTGGTTTGAGCCCCACATTGGGCTCTGTGCTGACAGCTCAGAGCCTGGAGCCTGCTTCGGATTCTGTCTCTGTCTCTCTCTGCCCCTCCTCTGCTCATGTTCTGTCTGTCTCTCTCTCAAAAATAAATAAACATTAAAAATTTTTTTTTAAATAAAACATTAGGTCATTTTACAAGGTTCTCTTTAGATTTCCAAAAACAAACATGAGCCCCAGCGTTAGTGACTTTGACCTTACGGATATAATTAATTTTTTCCCGTTCACACACATTAGAAGCTTCTATGGGAAAGTGTATTTCTTGTGGCTTACGTTGCCAACCCACCTGACAGCATTAAATTCCTTACAAACACATGAAATACTAACCTTTGTAGTTTGGTGGTCATACTTCTCCTTTACCAAGGGTTTTAAACTTTTTTCAGAACACCGGAAATCTCCAATGTTATTTGTGGGTCATACCACTGGGGTCCAGGCTTTGGACTAAGGCACAAGTTCACAGCCTCTCAAAAAGAGACCTATGGATCTCACATCATAGATAGGATCCTCAGCCTCACTACTGATCTATCTGCCTGGGAGCACACATCTATGAACTCTCCATGAAAGACCCACCGTGATGAATTTCCGACATATTGCATACCTTTTTTAGAGGTAGCTAAGGGTTTTTCTATACATTATTTCATCAAATTTTCTATTATGTCCACGAGGTATCAAGAAAAGGGTTAATTATTCCATTTTTAGAAGAAGAAACTGTTTCTTTGAGATGAAAACCTTCCCAAGGTCACACAGATGGCAAATGGGAAGGGAGACATGAGCACATTGCTTCTGGCTCCAGCATCAGGATTCTCCCTTCCCCCCAGGTCAGGCTTCTGAGGGAGGAGGGATCAAGTGCATCAGTGGCATGGAAGGAGAGAGGAAGGCAGCTGTGTTGTTAGGATACAAGGAAAGAGATACAGGAACAACATTTTTTTGTCATGCCTAGGAGTGAGATCTGGACACTAAGGAAGCCAAAAACTGTTTCAAGAAGACTGAAGAGTTCCTTCCATGCTCCAGATCTGAGGGCAATGCTGCGCATACATAGAGGTGAGGAGAGCCAGGACAGGAGGGCGGGTATGGGAGCCCTGTGGTTTCAGGGACTTAACTGGGGAGCTGGTATAGTTTCAAAGAGAGGATAGAAAGGAGGAGGGTTTTCAGAGAAGGAGGAATATTGCTTTAGGAGATGTGGTTATATCTAAGGGGGAGTAGCTAGGTGTCCATTTCATCATCTCAATTACCAGTTTATGGTCTACCAGGGCTCCCGTCTGCTGGCCCTTCTTTGGAGAAGAGATAGGTATTGGTGCTTAATCATTTGCTTCTAATCAACATCATTGAATCTTTTATCATTTCAGAGCTAACACATGTCCAGTGCTACTGGGGTAAGAAGTTACTGGTTCTTCAAATCCCTGGGTTCTGATCCCCTTTCAGAAATTTGTGATTTCAGGGCACCTGGGTGGCTCAGTCAGTTAAGCGTCCAACTCTTAATCT